CACCCACACCCACACCCACACCCACACCCACACCCACACCCACACCCCACATATGCTCACACCCACACCCACACTCAAAGGATAGCATGGAATGAGGATTTCATGTCTGTTAGACTTCAACATGGATCCAGCTAGAAAGCAATGATTGATGTCATATTTGGTTAAACATTGATAAATATCATGTTATCTTTATGTAATAAGTTTTAGTCATTCATTTAGGTTTTTTCCAGGTTATCTCATCTATATTTATCTTGGGTGAAAGTCCTTTTTGTTTCACCCGGGTATAAATAGACGATGATTTTCGATGAGTAGCCCACGTGGTATGTTATAGAAAGACCGAGCAAAAACTTGTCGGCGAAAAAAATATCGAAAAGAGAACATCGAAAAAAATATATCCACGGAAAACATGTTGACGGAGGGAATTTCGAATAATTATTATGTGTCAAACTGAGGAAATGAGATTCAGGACAGTAGTGTGGGTGTGCTAGAATGAATGTACCTGTGTTCAAATATTCATTTTTCTCATGTAGTTCCTCATTTTAGTCCTCAATCGTGATATTAATATTTCAATATTTTACTCGTTGACATTTTTTCCATCGGTTTATTTTTTTCGATGTTCTTCTCTCGTCATTTTTTGCGTCGGCAATTTTTTGTTCGCTGTTTCTATAGTAAACCGTTCACATACTTTGAAAGATGTCGGTGCATGCATTCGTTGACAGGTTATTTTTTAGATGATGTCCATAGAGTATCATCGTCTGACTAGATGAAGTCATGATATTTTCCTTTAGTTCTGCAGGTAGAGATGTTCGTGTTTTTTGATTTTCTATCTTCATCGATAATAGATGTTATTCGCATATATGTTGGAATTATCTGATTTTTTCATACAATTTTATCCCGTTGAGGATTTCCAACTCAATTCCCGAAGGTCGATTTTCTGAAATTTCCCAAATTAAAGCACAGAAAATATTATATATAGTCCACATATGTCGACGAATAAATCTGAAGCGGATTCGAGAGACTACATTTCATCAAAGCACTTCACATGTTTTTCAACGTTACGTTACCGATGCTTCTGTCTAATTATTTGATTCGGTTTACACTGGCTTTATATTTCAGATTAAATAGAAGTTTTAGAATTCTCTCTTCAACACGCAAGATATTGCGAGTAAAATATTAAGGAAAGCGATATCTACATTGAGATCGACACGTGTGTTTGCTTTTTTTTACTCTCGATTCTACTTAGTATTCATACGATAGAAATCTGCTTCGAAAACAGAAAAGGTAGAACTGACAAGGTGAGGGCAATATGGCATCGAATACTATGCAATACAGCAATGTTGAGGCGGAACTCAAGAATGAAAAGGATTACGTTTTGATCTGGATGGATCCCTCAATGAACAGCAACGAGAACTTGAATGTACAGTCGAAATTGCTTAGTATTTATAGTAACTTTCAAATGTATACGTCGGTACATGATACCGAAGCTGCTGTCAGAAAGGTTCCAGAAATCAGTCAAGTCATCTTGATAGTCAATGGGAGATCTGGCAAAGATCTAGTGCCTCGTATCTATGGCTTACAACGATTATGCACTATTTATATTTTTTGCGTAGATATACAGACGCACATGGAATGGGCTAAGAGTTTTCATAAGGTGGGATCACTTTCGTACTCATTCTTCTGTTACATTTATATTTTTGCTCAGATCCGATTAGTGACTGCCGACCCACGTCAACTCATTTCCATGATGCAATTCGAATGCCAACAAAGAATGTATGAGAATGTTCATAGGCTGATCAAAATACCAGAAAATGTTGAAAAATTAGGTTTGTGTGAAACTGAAATATACTCTGTTAAATAAATAATGTGAAACTTGAGTTGTCGATCTACCTTTGTTCTTTCGCTCGAAGCAATGGCGTTAAAAAGTGCAGTTTTGGAGAAATTCAGCAGCCCCAATATATCATAGGTGGAAGCTGCATGCTGATAATATTTTTGCTTTGCACAGGTAACGGAGAAAATCGATCAGAGATCAGTGTCAACAGCTTCCAATATTCTTTGAAATATTTGGCTGATGCAGGTGAATTCCAATACTCCGGAAAAACCTTGGATGACATCGCAACAGTTGTCACTGAAAAGTTAAGAGATGGTTCTAATGACAACTTCAGGATATTCATTCATGAAGCTATTCAACTCATCATGTTTGTATTGAAACGCCATCAAAATGTTGACGATTTCCTGCGGCCATTGAGAGCCAACATTGACAGGTGGAAAAGACTTTGTATGAAACGACGTGTATTAATAGACATAATAATGATAAATTCAGATCAATGGCTCTGTCGACGTCTTACGTCGCTTATCAGCAACTTTAACCCGGTACCTTTGATCCAACCATCGGTTGACGTAGCGAAGGATCAATACCGCTCGATACCGAGCATCATTGACATATGGGACTATCAACGACCAATCTTACTCTCATTTCAAATTGATTGTTGTAAAGGAAAAACAGCTTTACTGAACGCTTTATTCAGAAGTAATTTCGAGGAATCGTTGAACGATGTGTATTTTCGCGGAACAGTCGATATAGATTTTGGATATCATTTTGATACACGACGCCCTATCAACATTGCGGATGTGCACGGACAGATCTCCGATGCTGTTCTTCGTCAGATATCGAAGTTATTCAATGGTTTCCTTATTCACGTTCAATATAACAATTTTATTTCAAATCCATCGAAAGTTATAAGTTTTCTGCAATCATTACCGTTCAATCGCTATTTGCACCTTTTGATTCGTGATGTTGAAGATGAGAACGATGAGACGTTAAAGGAGACAGTTGATCAAATACTTTCCAGTTTTCCACTTTGTAAAATCTCTCACTTGATGAGTATTAATCAGAATAAGGAAGACAATCAAACAGAAATTGAGAAACTATGTAAGAAGATATTCATCGATATCGATCACCTTCCAGGTTTAGATGAGAAGATGATCCGGCAGGATCTGAAGAGCCTGTCCGATGAAACTGAAAGACAAAGACTGGAACAAGAGACATATCTCATCGATCGTATTCGACTCACTTTGATTGATGGCAAACGTGACAATTATCCATTGTATTCATTATTTGAAAACATGTGTCAAAAACAACTTGAAGTAGCCAAAATGAATCCTTACGGAAGAAATTTTAAGAATACTACATTCTATCAACTAAACGATGAGCTCTTCCGAGCCGATGGAGAATTTAGAAAAAGAAAGTCAATGACTTATAATGATTATGGTTGTGGTTTCAAGGACTTCCTAGATCTACTTCAGGATCCAAAATTAAGAATTGCTCATTTGAACTTACTGGCGATAGAATTGCAACGTGTCAGACAAAGCAAATCATTGATATACAAAGACTTGCCATTTTATGAACGACTCTCCTTAGAAATACATTGGCGCAATGCAATTATTGGTTCAGCTGCTCTTCCAGAGAATAAAAAAAAGATGCTTGTTGATGGGCATCGAGATTACATTCTCGAAGGAAATCCATTTGAAATCGTTGATGGTGATAACGTCGAAATGCAAGAAGAATTCCTAGCACAGGTTTTTCAATTATTTCCTGACAAGAAATTTTTCGTTATCAGCGTGATTGGACCTCAAAATAGCGGTAAAAGCACATTGCTCAACTTTTTATTTGGCGCATCTTTCGAAGCGCATGATGGAAAATGTACTAAAGGTAAGATAATAGTCAGATAAGTGAACGCTTCATGAGATTATGTATCACGATCATGATGCTAAATAGATAGTTTCAGAGTTAGGTGTAGTTGTGAGAACACGACACATACAAAACTATACGAATATTTGCTACGATGAATCTTGAGGATTCATTCTGTCGAATAACGATCTGTCTTGATGATTACTAGGATGATTCTTTTATTGCAGGTGTCTATGGAACATTGGTAAATATTCAAAAACTAGCGATCAAAGATAAACAAGTCTGGCTTGATTATGATTATATTCTTCTGATTGACACTGAAGGTTTGCTCTCTCTCCAGAAAAAAAATGAACAATATGATCAAAGCTTAATTCTCTTCTGTCTGGCTGTGTCTCATTTGGTAATTGTCAATGTAGCAGATGAAATCAACGATGTTGTGGAAAACTTCCTCCTCGTATGTATCAAAACTCTCCGGTATCTTAACGAGACACGCGTCAAATGTCCAAGAATCCATTTTGTTCTTAACAAAAGAAATAATGCGAATAAAGATTATTGTGAATCACTTGTAAACCTGGTTAAAAAAAGTTTAGATGAAAATCAACTAAGCACTGAGATTAGTCTCAAAGAGGAGAGTTGGCATGTTTTGACCACTTCATTCTCTCGAGAAGGATTCGCTTATCCCAATACTGGTGAAGACTGTGCTTCATTGTCTGCTGAGCCACAATATTTGATCAAAGTACAAAAACTATCAGAGCTTTTTGTCAATGCTTCATCGGATATTGTTCGTGCAACTGGAGATGCTTTCAGTATACCAACCAATTGGATTTACTTTGCAAGCAGAGTTCTGAAAATCATTCGAAAACATCCGGATTTAACCTATTTTCATGATATCTTTGAGAGGGAACAATTCGAGAAAATCCGAGAGCACATTCGGAAAGATTTGGAAGAGAAGTTATCTACAGCATTAATGTGCTCATCATATGGAACAAGTCAACGAGATAGCAGTGAAACCGTTGAAAATACCTTGGAAAAGAAAAGGGAAAATGCGTTACAAAGTCTTACAAATAAAATCATCAGATACTGCGATTCAAACGGAACAAGTGAGAACGTTCGTAGTCGAGCATTGCAGCTTATAGAAGATCAAATGTCCAATATATTTGAATCGTGGAAAGTTTTGGGATTTTTTCAATCGGAGCAAACAAAGAATGAACAAACAATTAAAGATTTCGAGACCAAACTCCGAGAGAAAGCGATGAAAGTTACTTATGAAAATGCTCAAACGAATCGTGATGAGGCCAGACACATGTTAGAAAACGAATTCAACAATTTGATCACTGAAGTTATATCGATTACAATGAACTTGGATTCACTATGGAAAAGATCACTTGAAATGGCTTTTAGCCTGTTAAATACGCTTGATAAATCTGAGTTGCCAACATACGATCATATTTCGGCTTATTTGACATTTTTACAAAACTTAGATTCTTCGGAAGCGCAACCCATCTCGATCGATGCATCTCTATCAAAAATTTGTGATACATGTATAGCCCGTGCATCGGGATTAGACGCACTAGATAGTCTTTCACATCAAACTGATACACGTGTTCAGACCCATGGCAAACCTTGCAAATTTTTCGACAAGAATAAATTAGATATAATAATTGAGGCTTCACAGATTAATCAAAGACAAAGGCGATTGTTTTCGCTAGAAGGTGCTCCTCAAGAGCAAGAATCATTAGTTCTTTCTCATGAACAACGAAAAGAAATTGTTAAATTACCAGAAATATTTAAGACACTCGAGAGTTTTGTAAAACCAATTTTAATAGAAAAACAAGATGATAAACTTTCTAATGATATTGGTGTTGTCCAAAAGATTATCACGGCTGTTGATAAAATTACTCAAGATTTTAACAATGAAGGGAAGACATTTTCATATTGCTTATCAAAGGAAGGTCGCGATGCACTCTCGATTTATGCTGTTTTGTCAATTGGATTATATTTTTACAGTCGATGTAAAACGGATCGTCTGAACACCCACAAAAGAGTAAATGACAGCAAAGCTGAACTTGTAGAAAAATTTCTTCCTTGGTTTTTTATTACCGAAAATGATGATATGAATATGGCTAACAAGCTAATCCAGAAAATATCTTCGGCTTTGGATAAAACATTCGAATTACATATCAAAGAACTGATCAATAGCAAGTTGGATGAGAACATTCACACATTTTACAGATCGGTGATTATCGGCGAACTCGGTGACGAAGCCTATGATGCTGAAGACAGTTGGTTAGAGAAATATGTTTTGGAACCTGAAAAGTTAATTGAAGGACGATTTAAGGAAAAATGGACAAAATTTCGAATGGATCTCGATGATGAGCTTAGTAAAATTAGTTATAAAGTCTTATCAAGATTAATGAACATTTTTGACGCCATGAAAAGCGTGAAGGAAGTAGCAGAAAAGCATGATGGTAATTCTCTATATTTCGTCGACACTTTGTTCGAACCATGTGGAGATCAGAGCAGTCATCGACCATCTGATAAGCGAAATTGCATGTTCCAACTCTTCTACGGCTATCTTGTTGGAGACCAAGTACCTGAACGAATTACAATTCGAAATTATGTGACTTACTCAGTCAAATCACATTGGAAAACAATGGTTGCTGAGTTTCCAGATTTAGACATAGAAATTAAACAGATGTTTCGTTCGATTCAAAACGTATTCGACGCAGGTACGATCAGCTATCTTGGAAATTTTCTCTTTCATTTGATCGATCAAAATTCCAAAACGGAGCAAACCATTATAAGCGAACCGAAGTCATTAATTGACACGAATTTTAAAGAATTTCATGACCGTTTAATTAAACAGGTACTTGTTTGCACTGAAAAATGTCCCTGTTGCAAACGTATATGTGACGCAGATCATCATTTGGATATTAATGCTCCTATTGGACGAGGTAGCAATCGACATTGCTGTAAATTAGGTCATCAGATTCGTGGTATGGGTGGTATACGATTCGAGTCTACCGATGAAGCATCGCTATTGTCGTGTGAGATCATTAAAGACACCGATATTATTGTTATAACTAAAAATGAACGAAAAATATGGAAAGAGTTCAAGGAAGAGAATCTCGATTGGGATTTTGGTGATCCAAGAATTCGAGATACGCTGAAAACACCATATTCCCATATCTGGAATCGAATTGGCGAGCAGTTATGCAAAAAGTATAAGCCAAAAATAACATTCGTCAAGGAAAATAGTCCGTCGAAAATAAGCCATCTAATTTTCGTATGTGATCATTCGGGCTCCATGAACAACGAAGTAGCTAATCAGAAATCATTCTGGAATTCTTTTTGGACAAAATCAAGTCAAAATGTAACTGCTAACTCAGATAAAAGCAATCGAACAGGATGGGAATGCCTACTTGAAGCTGTTCATAGATTCATCGAAATTCGTAAGAACCGACTGTGTATGAATGATAGGATCACCATTATTTTATTCGGCAACGAAGCAAAACGAATGCATAATCAAGACAATCTTGAGAGCATTGACCTTGAAGGATTGAACATCAACATTGATATATGTGGCGCCGGAACGAACTTTTCCGCTGCCTTTAAAATGGTGGCCGAAACATTAGAAGAAGTCAACCGAGATCGTGAACGAAATCGATTTCAACAAAGCGTTATCTTTATGACTGATGGTGATCCTCAAGACGACTGGACAGCAGAACTACAGAATTTATGTCGCTACAGAAAAGGTTTGAAAAGCTTTTCAATTCATTAACCCTTTGACAGGCGGTGGTCCATATATGGACCACTTTTTTGTTTGTTATTATAGAAATATAATAGCCTAGACATAGTCATTCTGTTAGAGAGGAAAACATCACTGCATGTGTCAAAATTAATTTTCGGATATGCAACTTTCGGTTTCAAAGCTTCTGCTGTCCTTCTACAGTTAATTATAAAGATGAGCACCACTCGTTTTTACTTTAAAAAAGAGACAGAAGTGATCTGAGAAACTTGAAAGTTTGCCTTGTGTGTGTATTTAAGTTTGAGTAAAACTTGTGCTATTTCAACTTGCAAAGTGGCTTTATGTGTTTCACATCAAAGAAACTGCTTCTTCTTATTCCATACTAGTTAGCGTTGCATATTCATGGCTAACAGCGATGAATTTCTCTCGATATTCATGATTGTTCTTACCAGATTTGTTTTCTGTTTACTCATAAAAGCTTTCCTTTGATGTTTTTCGAATTTCGCTTATTTCTCAAAATAGGATGTGTTCTTATTTTTCTGTTAAAGCGGCATTGCGGTTACTAAATAGAGGTTTGTCATATTAGACATGCATTTTGCTCATAGAATAAAATCGAACTTATCAAAGAAAAGAATTGACTGATTTTTCTAACTTTACTGAAATTTTACATAAAAATGCTTATCTCGATCGTAATAAGTGGGCTCATCACACGTGAAATAACCCGATATTGTTGACCAGATCCTTGCGCGTCATAATGCAGATCAAGATCGAGCTAATTGAACTATTTAGATCGACATAAGTCGTCTGTCCAAAATTCGCCCGTCAAAGGGTTAATGCGCACGTAAAAAGCTCTATTCTAAATAAGAATCAAATGAAATATCAGATTGATCTGCTTCATTGCTATCTGTAAAACATTTGTTCAACATTTCACAGAATGCTCTATTTTCTATTTTTATTCATTCTGAATAGGTGCAGCTACAGATGCAAACAACATAGCATTGGTCGATGATTTTTGGATATTAACGCTGGGTAACGTTAACACGAAGACAATCGAAAAAATAAACCAGCAAATTCAAGGCAAAGTGATCAGAGTTGAACATGCAGAGGATCTTTTAAGGGAATACGAGCAGATCGCCGAAATTCTTCCATAAATACAGACATTGAAAGACTCTTCTTTTTCCTAATAAATTTGAGTTGATCATTCTTCAACGATAATATGACTGTCACATGTTCAACAGCATAATAAGTTGACGAAGTTTGTGGATTTATTGGATGCCCATTAAATTTCAATTTTTCTTTCTTTCAAAACTCCAATGCAACGTAACTAACTAAGGAACCTTCCAAGGTGCGGGAGCGCTTTTCAATCGGGGTTTCGTGCATCTTGTAGCCCGTAGTGAGTTATGCTTACGGTAAAAAACAGTTCGGGTTTCTGGCTTGTTTCTGAGGAGATATCGAGCTCTTACAAGGGAACCTTCCCAGGTGCCAGAGCGATTTTCAGTCAGGGTTTTGCGCATCTTGTAGCCCATAGTGAGCTATGTCTATGGTTAAAAAAGTTCGTCCCCCTGGTTTGTTTCTGAAGAGATATCGACTTTTTAGTGTTTTTTTTTCTATAGC